CAGTGCAGCTCATGGATGGCGTAAAAAGGATACGGGCCGAAAGAGAGGAAAATGTTTTTGGAAAACGTGCGACCTGATCCCAGAAAGTGCAGATGCACTTTATTCGGCCATGTGTTTTTGTACACACATGGTTTTTACAGCAGCTATGAGTGTTGAATGTCTCACTTTCTGCCGGTGGAACAATGGGGCCCGGTCCTATGAGCCAGCTCTGGGGAGGGAGGAGTGTTGTGGTGGGCTTAATGACCTCTTCTCAGTGCGGCCTCTGCATCCTCCCATCTTAATTAATGAAATACACAGAGGAGGCAAACAGCCCTGCAATAACACAGGAGGTGCTGCTTTCTGAGGAGGGCAAAGGGGTGATAATTACATACCCTCACTTTTCTCGTTTTTCACCTATGTTTCTACCTTGTTTTTTTCCTTCCCATCCCCCCTCTTTTGTCTCTGTCTCCTCCTTTGCTGTCATGATTAATAAGCACGCAAAATTATGCCAATTCATTTACAGCTTGGGGGGGGGGAGCTTTGTTAAAGCAAGTCATTTTTTGCTTTGATTTCAGGACAGGGAAAAGCAGAGAGCTGTTTGCCAGTCTTTATCCAAGCTGGGAGAGGGACTTTTTTTTTTTTTTCTGCGGCAGCATGTTGTTTGTGAGCGTGACGATTGATGGCGTAATCCCTTTTCACAGTGTGGTCTGGCTGTGCCCGATAATGCCAGCCTGCTCAGTTTCAGCATGCTCTCCACTGGGGCGGCAAGAGGGGGACTGCTGGGCACGGCGGAGCTCATTCAGCCATTAATCTGGCCAGGACAAGGGAAGCTGCTTCTTCTGCTGCCGCTGCCGCTGCTGCTGCAGGCGACGTGAGCAGGGTCTTAGTGCAGTCTGCTGACTGCACAGCAACCTCGCTCTCCTTCGCTCCCTCCGCACACTCACACATAAACACGCCAGCATCAGCAAGTGAATGGCAGAGGGGAGTTCACAGCGCATGCCCTCCTTTCCACCGGCAGAGCAGGGGTGAGAGGCAGAACAAACAGAGCTGCATCCCAAGGAGGGATTTCTAGAAGTTCTGAAGGTATTTCTCGCAACATGGTGGGTTGAGAGAAGCAGGCCAACAGGGAGGACAAAGAAGGGGGTTAGATATAGAACAGCACCTAGAGGCAGAGGAGAATTATTCCTGCTGCTTTAGAGGCGGTTTCTCACTAGCACAATACCAGTCCTCTTACACCTTCTCTGAAGACATTCAGGTACTGATAAGGTTTTCGCCACTTTTGATAGAAGAAAAAAATAACATAAACGAAAATTCTATTTTCTCCAGGGAGGTGGCTGTAACGCATCAGCGACGAGGAGATAGAAGGACGGAGAGAGAGAGAGAGAGCACGCCACAGGAAGACCGAGAGGAGAGGAGGAGCAGCCTGAGCTGCCTGTCAGGTCCGCTAATTGAGAAAAAAGTGACAGAACCATCAAGACACAGAAAGGGAGGAGAAGAGGAGAGGAGACGAGAGATGTTTGGCGGAGGAGGGGCAGTGCTGTGGTGGATCTCTTCAGGTTTGACTAATTGAAAGGAAGGGATGCAGACTGGCACAGGAGAGAGAGAGGGAGAGGGAGAGAGGGAATGAAAGAAGCAGGAGTAAGGAAGAGGAGAGGCGGGGGGTGCAGCTTAAATCCTACAAAAGGAAAAGCAAGCAACTGCTCACAGAAGGAAAGATGGACAACTGAAGATAGGCTTGGAAAGGCGTATCAAACAGAAGTGGATTAGACAGGTGTGTGCAGGCAACTCTGTGTGTGTGTGTGCATGCGTGTGTTTATATGTGTGGACAAAGATATGAGACTGCGATTATTTTTGGCATAACTTAAGAAGTCATTTGGACCCTGGCCAGCTGGCCTCGGGACTGCGAGGAGTCGGCAGGTTTTCTTTTTATTCTTTACCCACTCCCCACCCTTTTTTCTCCTCTTTTGGTCATTTTTATTTTATTTTTATTTATTTTTTTTCATTTTTCCACTCAGTCGATTCAGTGGGGTTTATTCAAACAGTCCCAGACATGAAAATAGATCTTTCAAAAGCTCGGTGGGCCTAATTTATTTTAACAGGTGTTGTGAAAACATTTTACATTTACTGAAACATTCACTACACTTCATCTGCCCCTGTTTTTGTGTCCCCCCCTCCACCGACCCACCCTTCTTCTTGCATCCGTAGCTGTATACTAAGACTCCGTCTCTGTGACAGTGAGCTCACAGCACTGCTCAGCTCAGCAAAGAAAAAAACAGACAATTCCTTGTGGTAACATACAATGGCTGCTGCTGTAGCTGGCAAGAAGAGATTCTGAAACAAAAACTTCCTTTAATCTCTGTTAACTCCTCTGACGTCATGAAAGCCACTAATGGTTTGGGTCTTGTTGCTGTGACCTTACAGAAATATCCTAGAATTTGTTAGACTGGCTGTACACTTTCCTTTTCCCAAAACAATAAATCTTTAACCAAAAGTCAACAAAAGATTGTTGTGTTAAAAAAGAAAAAAAAATGTCTTTGCCAAAGTTACCCTTACCGCCAGTGTCATTTAAAGGAGACTAAACTGACAGGAGAGCACGTCCAGACTACTGCCCATGCCAGGGCAGCTGAAGTTGAAAGACCTTTTTTTCCCTCTTAGTTTAGCCAACCCGAGAAACTGAGGTTGAAAGTTTGCGATGGGATATTTTGTTACTTTAGTGGCCAAAGTAGGGGCGTTTCCATGGATATGTTTAGGGTCAATGCATAAGGTTAAAATATTCTAATTTTTGTAACAGTCTGCATAATCAGTAAAAGAAGTGTAATGCTGGTACATCAGGGTGCTGAAACCTTGGAAGAATGCTGCATTTCTGAACATTTTTGCTGTTTTCTCCGGGCTTAATGGAGCAAAAATAATATCCATCTTACATTTTATGTGGCTTTTCTTTATCACCAACTCATTTCAAATGCCCGCAAAACTTATTATATTGAAAAGAGGAATTAATTCTTAATTGACTCACCAAATAGGAGTAATAAAAAATAAATGTGATTAGCCTGCTCCATATAGCCACAGTCCATTGTTTATCCCCACTAAGTGACTAGTTAGCAAGCAAAGGAGATAATTGTTCTCATCTGCTTGTTACGTGATAGATTTCAGGCTTTTAATCTGTAGAAAAATGTGTCAGAGGAATAGCGGAAACAAAGACGTTCTGCGCAATGACAGGTATATGCCAGAAACGTGCGAATCGTAAAATCGTTTTCGAATACAAATTTGAACTGCTTTGCTTAGATATGCACGCAAGCAGCCACTTTAAAAACAGAGAAGAAGAAGAAGAAGAAGAAAAAAAAATAAAAACACAGCACTTCTTTGAGGTTACAAGCGAAACACTAATGCACCGACACAAGCACAAGTCAATGCCTGCTCTGATGCTGGTGGGGTTCTGCTGACACCCGGAGAGAGAAGGCGAGAGTCTGGGTAATTGTGCCGCTCATTTTGATGACTTGCTTTTTATGCAAAACAGGAAAAAGACAATATGCAATTATCTTGAGGAGGGAACAGCTGAATGTGGTTGATGAACAGTCTGGATTCAATCATGCTCTTAGTGCGTTATATGCAATTAAACTGCAATAGAGATAATGGCCTCCATTGCCAACTGAGTAATAATCCCAGTCATAATCACCTCCATTACTTTTATTAGGCTTGGCATTATCTTCATCACTCTTAATATTATTTTACTTTTCCACAAGAAGAAAGTGTTTGACAATGAAACCTAGAAAGTATAAGATAAAGGAAACACTGATGCTTACAAAATGAGTTTGGAGGGAAATGTCTGAGATTGGGCTGACGCTGGAGCTAATATCTTGGAGGAGTCTAGAGTTTAATCTGGTGTAGCATCTGTCCACTGAGTCAGCGGCCTGCTGCCCGGGGCATCAGAGCAAGGAAGTTGCTGGGAGATATCATATGACTTAACAATCTTCATGACTATACAGCATCTCAGCTGTAATCCACTTAATCATCCCTGGACACATAACATGCAGGTGGGGTGCCGCTGATGACTGACCACGAATTTCAAAAAAAAAAAGAAAGAAAAAAAAAAGAGAAAAGAAACACTTCCCACTGGTCTCCCCTCCCCACCAATAACATCTGGGCTATTCTTAGATAATAAATATATTATAACCAGGGGGCTGAAATAACAAGAGTCCATCCAGGATTGTGATTCACCAGGTAATTTTAGGTGGCGATCACAGTGCGTAATTAGCAAGATGTAAATCTGAAGGTGAAGACCCAGAAAAGCTGACCTTACGTTAATATATTAATAAGATGATTTGTCTTGTGTTTATCTGTCACCCCAATTAATTCCTGAAACACCCAACTACATTAATCCCTCAGCTTTATCGTTATCTGACTTCCTGGCTGGATCGAGACAGAATATGAGGTGTTGAAGTTGGTTTGTGAGTGTATGTGCGTGTGTGTCGAGTAAGGGTTTAGTAATTCTGATTGGTGGGAACCACCTTTTTAAGACTGTGATGGAGACACCGGCTGAAAGCTCTGCAATCACTGCAACTTTTTTCTTTTTTTTTTTTACTGGCACACAGTCGCATGTGCTGCTTCAGAGGGCCCTGAGTGACATTCCTGCTGACATGAATCGAATACCGCAAGATTCTGTGGCTGAACTTTTAACCCTGTGTCTGTATCCAGAACACCGTGGCACAGTGCTCTATCCCAAACAGGCTGGGTGTGGGCCTATTTTAGTGCATAAATAAAAGGGTTGGAGCCCGGACGATTACAAGCCGTACTTTGGTGCAAACCTAGCGCGACACAAAAATATACAATATCAGAGTAACAATACACTGTGCAAAGCTGCCTCCAATAATGCCAGGACATAAATATCACCTCATCCAGATGGTGCGGTCAGATGAGGGGCTGTGGCTGTGTGTTTGTGTACATGTGTGATTTGAGGTACCTTCATGCGAATGGGGAAACCAGATTTGCGAGGCGCTCGAGTGGGGTCCGCCACGGAAGGAGGGCGAAGAGGGCGAGGAGGGCGGCCGGGAGGGATGAGACGGGTGGGAAGGAGGGGAACCCAGACTACTGGCCAGAAAGGTCCCCATGAAGGAGGCAGAAGAATTGCCCATCAATCCACTGCCTGCATTCCCACAGGAACAAAAGGTAAGGAGAGAGAAAAATGGTTAGAATTGGGAGTGTGTGTACACTGGGACAGTGAGTGTGACTAAAAATGAAAAGGAAAAACAAAAAGAAAAGCTTTGCATCTCAGTGTGAGGCCCACTCATATATACATATTTTTCTTCTCTTTTTTTGGTAGAATCATTAAGCCAGGCAAATGTGATCGCTGCTCTCGGGAGAGGCTGAATGAGTGAGAGAGCGTATGTGTGTGACAGAGAGAAAGTGTGAGACTCTCCTCCCCCTCACTGTCAGCAGAGTCCTCTTCCCTCGTCTTCTCTCCCCTCACACCACCTCTCCCCATGGGCAGACAGAGGTCTCATCTCACAGCTGAGTACACACTTTCTCAGGCTCTCTCCCTCTCGCTCTCACACACTTTTGCTCCTGCTCCCCAGTGTCCCTTTCTCAATTTCTCTCCCTCCCTCCATTATCTTGTGCTCTCCATCTCTCACTTTCATGCCCTCAATCTCTTTTATTGCTTTGCTCCATTTCACCTCCTCTCTGTCTGGTTTTCTTTCAGTCTTGCTTTTTCTCTGCGTGACGCTGACAATCCCGTGCTCTTCTTTCTTCTCTGGTTCCATTTCGGTGTTTCACTCCTTTTTCCTTCCTCCTGCTTTGTTACAAAAGCCGTCTTCACTCTTCTCGTCCCCTCCTCTGTCCCATTTTTATGTGCAGAAATACACCATGCCTCTTCCAAATCCTCATTGTCTCTTCCTTCCCTCCCTCTTTCCCTGTTTCTAGCATTGCTTTGCTTTGTTCTTTACCATAATAATGGCACCAGCAGAGCAATCTGTCCCTGGCTGGCTGAACTGTGTGTTTAACAAGACTATGATGAGTAATTGACCATTTGTAGCAACGCCCGTATGACTGGGGGCTGATTGTCTATTATGCATTGCTGGGCAAGCTGGAGAAAACACACTGATTAACCACTGCTTAAATTGCATTCCCATTACGCGCCCGCCAGTGCACTTGAGTGAGGGGCCCGGGTGCCCGGCTCTTTGCGCATTCATTTCCCCCAAGTCACACCACCGTGAAGTCTCATGCATATGTATGAAGTTGCCTGTATGAGAGCACACATGCAGATACATGCTCAGACACACATTAGTGTATCGTATATCGCGCACACCAAAACACGGGGAGAGCGACACAGTAGAAATTCATTATGAGCCTCTTATGACAAGCTGATCTCCCAAGGAATGCTGAGTGATTTGATTTTCTTGGAGCATGAATCAGTCCAAACATGCATCGATCCTTTTTTTTTTTCTTTTTCTGGGAGTGTGAGAACAATTGTGTGGGAGCCTTAATCAGCCAGCCAGTGAGTGAGCACATCCTCTGGGCAGACAGCAGGGATAAACCCATCAGTCTGCTTCTCGCTTTTGCACCGAATAGCCTATGGCTCATAGGCCAGAGCACAGAAGCATGCAGAGGCGTGCGCGCACAAACACACAACACGTACAAAAGCACCTCTGTCACACTTGGTACCACCGCCCCAGACAGGTGGAAATCCCCCACGATCCCCAACCTTACAGCGCCCTGCCTCGAAAAACTACCTTACAACCAATCCTGCGCGTGTGCGTGTTTGTGCGCATGTGGATGCAGCGACACTCTTGGAGGTCTCTGAAATTTGATCACAGAAAGAAATGAAGCCAAAGTGTGTTGTGATTCATTTCTCTTTTGCCGTAGATTATCTGGATTATCAGGTTATCTTAGTCTAAGCCTGGAAAATTGGGCTGGAGATTTTTATTTAGATCCACTTCTAATAACAAAACATTGGAACAAAATAATGAGACTACATCTCCTAAATCACATGGTAGCAAAAATCTTCTATTTAATCAGATTTCAATTGTCTATAGCAACATTTCACATGTTGATGGGAGACACTGTCAGGTAGCCTGGTCACATGCTACACTATCCATGCTGTTCTCCTTTTGCTCTGTATCAGTCCCCATTCCCCTCTGCTGCCACCTCCTATCACTTGGTCCCTGTGGAGGGCTCCTGGCACGGTTCTGCGGAGTTCAGAGTGGGTGTCGGGGGCCAGTGGAGGTGGGGGGTGGGTGGGTGGATTATGGCCAGCATGCTCACCAGGCACACATCCAACCTTCATCATCCAGACACGTCGGGCTCCTGTATGTCACCGCCCTCCATGCTGCACACTCATTGCCCCCCCTCCCCTCTTCTGCCTGTCGCCCCCAGGAACCCCAGCTTTCCTCAGTGCCTCCGGCTCACATAAATCAGCTAATCCTCCTGCATTATTAACAGCCTTGCCTCAGAGTGAGAGAGGGAGAAAGGGTGAGAGAGACATAGAGTGACAGAGAGAGGCTGCAAAGCCCCTCTCAACACAGTGAGGAGAGAGCCTCTGCCAGAAAGACAAGGAAAGGAGAAGGACAATACATTAAAAAGGGGATGTGTAGATGTCGGGCAAGGAGATCTTTGAAGTTTAAGCCTGTGTTCAGGGAGAAAGGGATTGGATGAAAACCTCAGAAGGGTCTTGGATCAAATCAAACCACAAGCCCTTCCCATAGCACAACCGAATCAGACCTTCCAGTGGTCCAGTTTGGCCGTGGCATCTTCACTTGGTGAAGGACTGAGCACCGCTCTGATGTAAACTGTAGCAGGTGAGAGTTAGTGGTTGGCAGACTCCTCAACCTGTCAATCACACTAAATGACCTCTCCTTTAGTGTTATATTTGCCTCCTACTGAAAGTATGCTGTGCATGACGCCACACAAATTCCTGCTTCTTTCTTTCTTCTTCAAATTTTCATACTCTTGTTTAGAAAACACAAACTCCACTCACACTGCGTTAATACAATGCCCTCCCTGAACCCATTTAAATCCTAATGAATCAGAGGTGTCGGTGAGCACATAGGTTATAAAAGTGGGCTGGTTTTTCACCTTTCTTTTACTTTGGATGCCAACTAAAGCAGTGCAGAACAAGTGGAATAATCGTCTGAGCCATGACGGCACCACTGCTCGACTTACTATTACAGTTTTAGTGGTGTAATAAATAGTGACTTAGCCGTTGCTCCACCGCCTCCTTGTAAAAGTTATGTTTTCTGCGCCTGTGTGTTTTCTCTAAACTGTGTTTATTTATTTCTCCAGTTCCTAAGTGGTGCCAGCAGTGCAGTTGTATGCGCTCTTAAGAAAATCGGGTCATGTGCATCCTAATCGGCACCGATCCCTGACAGAGATGAAGATTAATCCTATTAGGGAATTAAAGGAGAAGGGGACACCGGGATAAGGGGAAACCCACCTCCGTTCCTGACATCTCAACACCACATCCCAACGCTCGAACTCACACAGTTGTGTTCACATAGATCCAGAGAAACAAACACAAACGCCGCAGAACCTCCGGAGGTGGAGGTGTTAACTAGTGCTACTGTTTTGCTCTGGCGTTGGTGTGCCAGGGTGAAGGAGACCAGTTTGCGTGCAACAACAAAAATATACATGCATGCACACACAATAATGTGGGCCCAGGCATGGGCCCCTGAGGGCGGCACGGAGTGAGCAGCAGGCAGGGAGGCGTAGCTAGGAGAACGAAGGCCCAGTTGTCATGGGAACGAAAGAGAAACAGCGCTCGAGGCAAGGAGGCTGAATACGAGCCATTACAACAGCAGTGGGCAGATGCAGTTGGTCAGCATGCTGCTCAGCAAGAACAGCCAGTCTACCTTGAAACCCCACTTAGGTCACAGTTGCAATCAAACACACACTTGTCCAGTGAATTTAAACAGGTTTCAATTGTCAAGTTGAGGGGAGGGATGTGATGTCATCATACGACTCGGGGTAATTTGGGGCCTTGACGAGGCATAATACAATCTCATCTGCATGTGGACCACAAAGTGATGGGGTAAAAGGAAAGAAAAAAAAAAAGCTAGGAAGACAACAAGCACCCACCCACAACATCTTGTTCTTTTCAACGCTGGGAATCAGATCAAAAATTTCTCCTGAAGAGGCAGACGCCCATCCACATGCGCTTGTGTTTATGAGCATGTGAGGGAGCACATGGGGATCTACAACTACGCCTCTAAGAAGAAGAAGAAGAAGTACATTTATTTCACCTTGGATCATATTTCTCTGTCTGCTCTTGAAAAACAAGCCAAGGCAGTCTAAAGCCCTCCGTCTTATTCACAGACCGCAGCCCGAAGGGACGGATGGACGTGTCGTCTAGACAAAGAAGCCAGACGCACAATGAGAAGTGAGAGTGATGGTGACGTGAGGAGAAGAGAGACGGAAAGAAAATTGCAGATGTGACTGCATCAACCTGCTCTCCACAGCTCAGTGATCACCAAGTGCCACAGAGTGGAGGGAAGAAGCGGAAGAAGAAATGCCAGAGAATAAAAACACACAGACACACAACCGGTTTATAAGAGCTCGTATCAGAGAGTCTGTGAGCAGTTTAGGTCGCTCATTGAACGGTCAGTGCCATGTGGCAGCCAGGTTCCTCAACACACCCTGAAATATCATAGCCCACGTACTCTCTCTCACTCTCTCAGTCATGTCCTCTGACAGAAAATACACACTCCCCTTCTTGTCTTAAATGAATGAAATTAACATCAGATTGGTGATTCAAGGGAAAATAAATGTACTTCTTCCAAGAGCTGCTAGTTACTGGCACTGCTTTAACACAGAAAGAAACATGACAGAACATATACTGGTAAGCTAGGTTTTATTTTATATCAGACATTTAAGAATTTCTGTGTTTAGCTGTAAATTGTAGCAGCTTGTTTCTTTAGCACTTGTTTACGAAAGAACCCACTATGAAAGTAGGAAACAGCAAGGAAGATACAGACATTTGAAGAGTTACTTACCAAGTAAAAACATACTGAGCAGGATGCTCGTTGGTAAGCGAACTTCACTCCCACTTCAGTGTCTTTTTCATCAGAGTTTCCTACTAATGTAGTTCCATGTTCTGCCCAGGAATTCAGACGCCCAAGAAGAAGCCAGCCAGACTTTCCACACACACACACA